TAACTTTCATAAATATTAAAATATCGAAATTCATATTTAAAATTATCAAAAAATTTCAAAAATGTGAAATCTATAGTCTTGTTTCTCTTCTTTTATCTATAGTATCATGATATTTATGCTGTTCTATAAAAGAAAGTGATTATTTTGTTTGAAATATATATAACTTTTTTTTAAATCAAGATTTGCCCTTTGTTGAATCTAACTGTTGAGGTCACATACTTTGAAACAATTAATCATATTATAAAAAAGATTGCTAGCAATCTTATGGTATATATAAATTTTAGAAGCTTCGCTCATTGCATATTTTTGTTAATATATGGCAGATAAAGTAAAATAAGTAATTTTAAATAACTATTTTGTATATATAGTTGATTATTGATTTGAGTTCAAAATTCAGGATAGTAATGGAAGTTAATTAAATATATTAAATATTCTATAATATCAATACATTACAGTATTAATGATAAATAAAAAAACTCTTTATATCAATCCTCTGACCATACACAAAAAAGATGTTCATAAGAAGTTTTTATACTTCCTTATTAATAAAGTTTTAACACTTTCCTTAAAACCATTTGAAGTATAATTTCAAGAGTCACTTCTATCCTTCCTTTATTGTTTACAAATCTTTTTACTCAAAAACTTGACTTCTAGTGACCAAGAAAAGTCAAGTACTACAGTTGATATCAATGACAAGAAAGTTTTCAAAGAAAGAAGAACTGATTGTAAAGTACCTGAAAATCCTTCTAACCTTTGAAGCAAGAGGCTTATAGAAATTTTCTATAGTAAAAAGGCTTATTTATTCCTTTTTTGACTGTCTTGGCTCTCTTAGAGCTTCTATGTTTACAGTTTTCTAGAGAATTTTGCCTACCTTAGTTTGATCCTGAATTTTGAATAACACAAATCCTCACCAAAGGTAATTGGTTAATATGAAATATATCAGTTTTTAAAATGTAAACAGGCTCCTATTGATAATACTCGCATGTCTTAATACATCATTGATGATGTAGAAAAGAAAGTTCTAGAAAAAGTGTTCCCTTCAATCATGTATATTCAAACTTCAGAAAACAATTATGATATTGAAAGACGAATGACAAGTAAAAATAGAAGATCCAACTCCTATCTCTTATTAAGTTCCTCAGGTGATGAAAAGGTTTTTTTGAACAAAAGCTGAGATCTTCAAGCTTCTATCCTGATCAGGGAAAGTTCTTGAAAAGATTTCTTTATCCCAGTTAGGCAAACTCTTTTATAATATAGTATTGGCTTCACTAGCGATAAGCAAATCTGTACATTAGTAGAAGGATAAATTCCTTAAATATTCTTCTTAAAGTCACTTTCAGGAATGACTAAGTTCCACAAATATCATAAAACTTAAAGAATATCTCAATTAAGCAAACCCCTTTCAAGAGGAAACTGTGAAGTGAAACAAGAATCTTTTGGAGGGCTTTGAATTGTATTTCCCCTTCCCTTTTTCTCTAGTGCCAACTTTATCAATTTATCATTTTTCAAAATAATCAACAGTAACAAACTATTGACAATAATCCTAGTTGACTTAGAGGTACTATGCCAAACTACTAGAAAAGTGTAATATTGTTCCTAAATCTAACTTAGAGTACCTAGTTTAGACTTAGTTTTGTTTAGTTTGAACTAGCTTAGTGAACTTCTCATATTTTTTAAGTAGTATAGTTCTTTAACTAATAATATATAATAATAAGTTGGTCACTTTGTAAAAGTCTATAAAATATTTAGGTATCTCTCAATATTTCAATAAGTACATGTCAAAGTGGCATGATTGTAGATTAAAAAAAAAAAAAAATCAATATATCATTAACACTTAATTAAGTATACTATTAATAGTATTATTTTTACCTTGATCTATTAGCCTGATACTGATCGAAGTCATATAGGTAATTTTTTTTGAAGGTGACACAAATACTAGTTAAATTATTTTGAGGTAAGGGGTTAAGGCCTAGAATTATTTGTTTCTATTTATATTGTACTGCATAAAGATTACTTTATTACATCTATATAATTATACATAAATTACAATGGATAGCTAATATTTTAACTATTTAGTGTATTGTAATTTAATAGTGTATTTATTATATTGCACATATACCTATAGTATTAAAAAGTTTTTATATTGTCTAATTATATGACTGATAATCAAATTATTCATGAATTTGAGTGAAACTAATTATTAATATAACCTTTAAATATTATTTTCTTTAATTCGAAAATTTTTCTTTTTTTTTTAATTACACCATGCCTTCTTTAAACTTAAGAAAAATATTTCTATATTAATTTATTCTCATTCTTATTCTTTACCTTTAAATTCTTATTATCCTTTTCAAAAAAGTCTTGTTATTTCAATTTTATATAATGTAGCTAAAGATGAGTCCCTAAAGGGAAGAGGTAGGGACAAAAGTCAAATGTCCTTTACTAGGAAAAATTAAATTTTTATTAATAACTATAAAAAAACTACCTATAATTGTTTTCCATTATCTTAATTATTGATTTATAATATTTCCTGACTTTTGTCCCTATTAAAGTGAAGAGTTATGAATTTTGTCCCTCAAAAAGGAACATAAGTGATCTGCAAAATTTTATATGCTAAATACTTTAGAAATCCATCATTAAATGTAGCTACTTATTTATTAGAAAATAACTCAACTCAACTATACAATTATTTCTTAAACCAATATAATATTGGAAAATATTTTTTTCAAATTCAAAGCATGCAAAAACAACTAAACAAATCTTTAATAATCTTAAGATTATGCACACAATTTTTTTATAAAATATAAATCCAGTCTTTTATCTTTAGTAACTAGTTTATATTATAAATCTGAATTAACAAATCTTGGCTTTAACTTTAGCAATACACAACTTAATACCTTTTTAAAAAATTCAATTATCAATTCTTTTTTTTATTAAATTATCCAAGACAAATTTCTTTTTTCAAATCTGCCTTTAATAAACAAACTATTGAACTTATTCTTAATATCTTATACAAAATTTTCATTTATTTACTACTATGTGTCAATCTTTAAAACTTTCTTATTCTCTTGAAAATATTATTACCTCTTTTAATCCTATTTTTATTTATTATTTAGAAAAAACAAAAAAACATATTTATTTTGAATTAAAAACTTAAAATCCAACTTTAAAATTGAGCCTTGGTACATTTTACAAATATTGTTCAAAAAACTTCAAAAACGTATAAAAAAATATAGATATATATTCAATATGTATTGAAGAAAAAAAACAGAAAAAAAAATTATCACAAATCAATTTCCTTAATATTCATTTTATTACTCATTTATAAGATCAAATTAATCATTATCATCCATATCTTACTTTAAAACAAACCAACATCAACTTTATCAAAATTTTATTAACTCTATAATAAATAACTTCTTGTGTAATAATTATGGATTTTAAGAAAAATTTTAAAATTGGTAGTAGTCCCTTTGAAACTAACAGAAATTTTTATAAAAAAACACCATTTTTTATAAAAATAATAATGGTATAATTCAAACATAATATTTTAATTTTTTTTAAAAAATTTTATTTCATTATTTCTTATTTGTGATTGATTGTATCAATTAACTTCTTTCTAAATCCTTTATACCACAATTTCAATAATTTTGCTTTTGATTAAATTCTGGTCTTCATTTTAGATCAGCTGAAGTAATGCATTTTATTTTCAATCATTTATTAATCCTTTATAACGAAAGATTTTTTCTTAATTTTTTTACTAAATATTATGAAAAAAGTATTGTTAATGGATACTTTAGTATACTATAAAAATGGTTTTCTGAAGATGAATCTATTCAAAATATTCATACTTTTGAAGAATTAATTGATTTTTTTAAAAGAAAAATTCAATTCTCTTTTAATAATATTTTATTTGACACTTATTCATGAATCCAATTTTAAAATAATATCACAAATTAACTATAAATAACTTTTTTTTATATTTATTATTTACAAAATTTAATGGTAAATTATATGCTTCAATCCTTAGTACATTTAATTATGAAGAGTATATAGAAATTCCTTTTAAGATAAAAATAGTAAAAGATATAAAAAAAACAAAATAAGTATAATCCAGACAATTAATAAATACCACTTCAACAATAATGGGTAGCAAAAGTAGAGAAAGGTTACTTACTAAAATAGAAAAAACTCCCAATTTTCCTATTCTGATGAAAATATAATTTGCTAATAATATAAAATTGAACAACATATAGGGGCAGCTATATATGGCTTTGGAACTGACTATTTCCTTCCATGAGAGTTCTATTTTATATTAAACTATATATATTTTCATTTTTTTAAAAAAAAAAAACATCTAACATAGGCTATTTTTATTTTATTGAAAAATTAATTAATTTCAAAATAAAATTACACAAGATTTAAGAATTATATTAAAAAATATTTATTATTTATATATAATTTTTATGCATACTTGTAATTAATAGGTGCATACGTATATACAATATAAATTTTAGGGGCTATATCTATTTTAGGAATTTATATTGTATATACGTATCAATTGAAATTTTCAGGGTAGTGATTCTGGAGTCCGAAAACTCCCTGTCCGCCTTCAAAAAGAATTACCCATATGCAAAGCATCATTGTTCGCCAACATCGGCTACTGATTTTAACAATGATCTTGGTCAGAGTTAGGCTTAATTCAAACTAGAATTAAGATAACTTCACTTGACCATTTTCCATACTAGCTGATTATTATATTAAAAAATTTTTTTCATAATGCAAAATTAAACATCAAATTAATTGATAAAATTTTATTCGTCAAAAGAGGATTAGAAAAGATCCGATATAAATTAATTAATAATCTAAATATGTTACATATAAAAGTTTTGACTATTATAATAAATTAATTGCTATAAAATATTGGTTTTCTTCAAACCTTACCAATTCAATTGTTGAAAAAAATCAATTATAACCAATGTAAAACACCGGCTTCCGAGTTAAATGTCAGAAAGACTTGGCGGTGGACTGGTCTTGACATTACTAAACCATTCACCAAATCCAGCCTTTCTTTCGTTTTCGTCTTCAAGGACTCCCCAATTTTTCGAAACCTCTCCGCCCATTTCCAATTCGAGTATCCCACCCTTGGCAATCTCGCTGTGTCTAAACCAGGTATTTCTCAATACCCTGTTATTTAATTTTGCCGATTGAATGTAAATATTCCGCTCAGTTAGATTTTTTGCTATTATCGAAAAGGTTATAGTTGGTGAGAGGTATATAGTGGTGCTTGTAATGTGTGGGGAATTTATTAAATATATGTCTTGTCCACCACTATTTTATGACGCAAAGATATGGATATTAATTTATTATGAGGAGTTAAACAAAAAGTATATTAGCAATGCATTGATTAAGAAAATGACTTACATTGGATATATTCCAATAGTATTGAAAATGTACCAACTACTAAAAACCCCAAATTCGTCTGGGCCTACAACATAAAAAAAGTATTAATTAAAGATGACAAAATAAAATAAATGGATAATTCACATACCAGGCAATCCATCCCTTCCACTGCCAAACTTCTTTTTCATTATATCCCTTATAACGTGTATGCTTTTGTATTGTTTTCCAATGTAGTGATATAAGTTAGGGTGAAATAAACTTGGAACATTTTTTATATTGAAGTAATCGTTGTCATATGATTTACTCGAAAATGTGAGATCTAATCTTTTTTCGAATTCCTTTGGACCACCTGCGAACTTAATGAGCGTGTTTACATCTAACGGAAGAAGATACATATATATATTTTTGTTAGTTTATAGAAAATTTTGACACTTGTGAAGTGAGATTTTGCAACACACCGTGTGGGACGTTCAAGCTATATTCCCAGGATGAGCCGTCGTAAAATGCAATATATTTCGAAGTTTTGAAGAAGTTATCAAGACTCTCAACTCTTTCTCCGTTCAAATTTATCGGAGATATAAATCCTTTAACACCTAAAGTGGTAAAAGAAAATCTCGCATCACCAAATCTCAGATAATGATAACAATAATAAATCAATATCTACCATTTTCGGTTTTATTACCATTCCATAAATGTTGCCAATTATTAGCACGAAGCTTAAACATTTCGTAATCACTTTTCTTATTCAAACCTTATATGAGAATGCACATCATTTAAAGGGTGCATAGTCAAATTTTAAATCAATGAATAAAAATAACAGTAATCATAATATTTATTATTAATACCTTTTGCGACACAAGCAATCGCGAAATCATTACTTGCGTACTCCATCGTCTTACTGCACACTCCCTGTTCTCTGTATCGTATCTCATACTCAGGTGGCGTTATTAAAGGTATATATCCATATATCTTATAAAACCTTACGAGCAACCGTCCTTCATTCGATCCCCGAAACCATGGTTCAGCAAACGCATTTTTTAACATTGCTTTGTAGCCCAGCTCCCAGTTTATTTTACCTTTTCCAAGCTTTTTAAGGAATAATTCAGACTTTTACAATTGGGGGGGTTGAGAAATGAGTATAAGAGAACTCTTATTATTACTTATGTAAGCACGAACATTATTTCGAATACATACCAACACCATGTCTCCATTCGACCCTCCTCGCGAAATACTATTGTACATCCCGCTTCTGCCATCAGGCATAAATCCCTCGTTATGGTAAGTGTCGATCAAAGATCTGGCGATGTCTACTACCCTCTTTTGCTGGATTAACGTGTACAATGGAATCGTGGTTCTTTATATTTCGTATATTAATTTTTATTTATTCAAGAGTTAAATTTATGATCGAAAAGCGAGTTGAATTAAATCCGATTAGATAAAATTTATAATTACCTAAATGCACTCCACTAAGTACAGCGCGTCGGGTTTTGAAATAAAGGGCAACATCAATTCATCTTTCCTTTGAACTTGCATTCCAAAAAGAATATGTATGTAAATATGATAATACCAAAGTAAAGATATCATCGTAACTTGGAATGAGTTTTCCTTCTCTATCGTAAGATCGCCACCTCGGATTTTCTCCAGTTCTATGCACATGGGAGACAGAAATGATAAAAATAACAATAACCACGGTTTCATAAGGTAATAATAATAATAAAGATATAGATCTACCGATCACTCGGGAGCACCATGCTTCTATACAATCCACTATAAAAAATTTTTTTCATCTCTTTGGTACCTCCGTGAATTTCAACTTTTTCAAGCTCAACTTCCCAACTCGCCTCGGCCTTCTCTCTTATCTTTTCAAAATCCCAATCCTCCCCCACTTCCATCTCTGCATTTCTGCACGCGACTTCCGCCGATATAAAACTTATTCCAACTCTTGACAATATCACGTTTTCTTTCGATGTGTCGAATGTCAGGATGGCGCCTATCGAGTTCACACCAACTTGATAGGTAGAATCGGGATAGATCTCATTTGACCAGAATGTTGCGAATGATTTGGCAGGAGTCTTGAATTGAGAACAAAAATAAACATCATATTCAGGAGAAGAACTCCACGCGCTAGAGTATCGACCAAATCCTTTTATTTGTGTTGTCGAGACGGACGTGATAATCCCACCATTATATTTCATCCTATATTAAATTATAAAAACGTTATGTATTATTTAGAATAAATTTCCACATGGTGTGATATCTATAAATGAATAATAAATAACTGTTTTTATACCAATTTCCATCCACACCATTAATCACATTACTTAAATCCAAAATAACTCTTGCATTATCCTTCTTCCCCTTTGGAAATGTATATCTGTGAAAACCAGTCCTCCTAGTTGCGGTTAGTTCAACCACAGTGTCGTACGATTCCAACCCGAATTTCGAATATCCCACTTTAAAAATTTCGAAAGTACGAGATGATCCATAATCATTTAAATTTATATCTTCCAGAGACGAGATTGTCATCGGAAATTGACTTATAATTCCATATTGGGGAACACCTATAATCAAGGAACTTATCTAAATCCACAATCTCCTAAATTTTATGATGATTTCCTCATGGCATACTATACCTTTAGTTCCACTGAGGTGTAAATCTTGAAATAATAAATGGAAAAATGTGAGCATGAAACCTATTAATGTCGAAGGATACGTTCCCTAGGTAATCAATTACATACGACTTATTCCCGTTATTTTTCCATTAGAACTATATCTATTGTGGGAAAGTTCATTAATTGAGTATAAGCATGAGTCGAATTACCTCGACAGAAATAACTCACCCTGAATTATTTTCTTCCAATTGATTGGTATCGAATCCAACTTTCACAACGCCAAAAGGAAGGCAAGGACCCGGAAACACATTACCGCCTATTAACAAAAATAAAGTTCATTTACCCAATATTTATTTGATCTGGTGAATTTCTCTTTACACGGCAACATTACCACCGCGGGTTCCAATCAGCGGGTCCACGAACTTCGTAAGCCATTCGTTCACATCCCCGATTCTTACTCTCGCTCCTGGCTCCATTTCCTCCTCATCTAGAGTTGAAGTGCCTAGTGAAAAGCCTGGGTCCAGGTACTCATCATAGTACAATAAATCGCGAAAACTGTCAATGTCTATGGAGATGTAAAATAGTGAAATGGAAAATACTGCAATTACGCAAAAGAGCGTAAAGAATCTAAAAGAGATTCTGAGCCTTGCTAATGCCTTTAGCATTCTGTATTATTTGGAACTCTGAATTCACTGTGCAGCACAATGTCACAGGATCTTTTCTTTATCTTTGTGAAAGTAACGTGTACAAATTTTGATATATGCATTATCGTCACGTACAAGACAGGTTTCTTTTCTATGTTCAACCTCGGTACCGTATTAATCAATGCGAATGCCGATCTATTTTTAGTATAATTTAGACTAGCGTAAAAATAATAATAAAATATATAACGAATATCCGATATAGCGGGGCATAGTAAATTAAATAGTAAAGGGTAGCCTGACGAAAAGGAGCATAGTAAATTAACGGATTTTATCGTAAAATATCGAATCCATAGTATATAACCAATTTATTTTTTTTAAAAAGAAATCTTTTTAATCATGTTTAAAAAAGTTACAATACTTTTATTAAATAAATATTTTATAAACATCTTTTATTGGCTTAAGTATCTATTTCAAAATCAATAATGATAAAATTATAATTTTATTTTCTAATATATAAAAAAAAAAATCTTTAATTAAAAAGATTTTTTTTTTTATAATAGTTTAGAGAATAAGTAGTAATAATAATTTTTTTGTATTAAGATTTTTTGAAAAATTTTCTAAAACTTTTTTATTATTCTCAAGTATACAGTATAATAGAAATTTTTATTTTTATTAAAGAATTTTATTTATCTTAATTTAATTTCAAATTTTTTGTTATATTGAAATTTTATTAATTAAAATTAAAAAAAAAATATATATATATATTTTTTAATCTGCCATTAGGCTGACACGGCTTATCTTTATTGTGTATTTAAAATATTATACAATTTCAAAGATTTTCACATGACTGCTCACCCATCTTAAAAGTTTAACTTTTTTAGATACAACTTAGGAGATGATATTTTGCTTTCTTAATAACTTGGATTATTCTTTAACTATCAAGTTCATTGCTTACAGGTTATCACTGTAAATCATCCAAAATTCTAAATGGCAGATCAAATACCTAACCACGTTCCCCTTTTAACTATCCATCTTTCAATAATCTCCTCGAGATTTATACCTTGGGATTGTTCTTCATGTAATATCTTATCTATTAAAGGACTATTA